TACTTACATCAAGCGTGAGCTATCACACTGGGAATTCTGGGAATGGCAATTTACATAATTTTTTTCATAGTAAATTATGAAATTAGTTGTTCTTTTTCACTTAAACTATACCGTTCCTTTTCTACTTGGTACAATATTTTTACTGTAAAATTAAAAATCACTTTTACCATTTTTTTTTACAATGTACATGCAGTTTATAATAAATGTAAATGAACATAGATTTTCCACCTCTCAGTTTCAAGGTACATTACATACCTGAGGATGGTTTATTGTCATAGATAATGCTGATGCGCTGCCAGCCAAACCGCTTGCAGATTTCCAAAGAAAGACCCTAGTTTAGTGAAAGGTCCAAACACTCTTGTTAAGGTTGGATAGGCCTGAATTTATAGGGGTCAAGAGAATTTTTTTTTTTTTAAACATTTAGCAACTGAAAAGCAAAGTGCATTTTAAGATATCCGCATGTTAATGGTAATATACACTTTACAACCAACCTTCTTATCTAGAAATTGTTGATCTGCACATATAGGACTGATGACAGCAATGTTCCAATAAGCTGCTAGTTTAGCAGTCACTGCACAGACCTTAAATAAGAATTAACAACAGATGATAATACTCAATTTCCTACTCAACGAAAATTTGATAGTCCTTCATCTTGTAATGATGATATCTTGAGACAAATGAGATTATAACGACTTTTGTAATTACTTTTTGATAGTCCTTCATGCGTTAAAAGTCAATTTTAAGCTTTAATTGGAACTGTGCTTGTAGAAGACAGATACCTTAATTTGAGAGTCTATTGTCTGAGTAATGATATAATGAGTGAGTGAGTGATTGATTGTTATTTTGACACGTTCCATTTAAACTAGCTGTATTTTTATTATCTATTTATTTCGACTTTCAATTGTCTTGGAAATGAAGCTAATATGGCCACATACATTCGAGCAAGATGGTCCGATGAAAGCACTGTATTTGTGTTTATGGTAAAGTGCCGCAATTTTCCTTGGGCCACGTAGATCATTGCATTCATCATCCACATAATGGTAATCCAGATGATGACCTGACATGAATAATTCAACAACATATTAAATTAAAGATGATATATAAATATTGCTCATCTTCTTTTTGTACTTGGTACAAATAGCTCACTGACCTTGCAGAAGGTCCGGACTGCTGATTACAGAACTGATAGCGATAAGAGCTCCAGCCCCAATCCATCCAGTACTGAAAGGAATGGAGGTGTTGGGCATGGAGATCAGCAAGATGAATCTGGTGCCCAAACTGAGAGAAACCAGAGTCATCAAAAAGAGCAGTGGGCCAGGAAGTCTCTCGAAGTGCTTCATTACTTCTAGATGACATGTTAATCCAAATTTATATTCAGATTTTACAATACACACAGAGATATATTTGTATATATACATTTTTGACAATATAAGCAAACAATGTGTAGATATATGTGTTTGAATAGTTTCTAACTGTAGTGCAGTCAATATTAAAATCTCATGAGCTGTGTACACTAAATAAGCCTGTAAAATTCATAAATGAAATTGCTTACCACTCATTCCAAAAGAATAATTCCCGCTCCAACACAGAGTTTGATCAAAATGAGTCGAAAACAAATAAAAAAGGACCTTGCATCAGAAACTACCAGTAACGAGGACGGGAAAAACATCCAGTGGCAAACTGTGGCCATATGGTTTTGCTCTGAATCCAGCCATCCACAACAGTGATCTCCCCAGAGTGACTGTAAATCAAGGGTCTCACATTAATTCTGATCTGTATCTCAAGCTCTGGTGTTCCTCTGACATTTGTTTATAGCTAAACAAGCATATGAGTAAACTGTAACTGGTAACTGGTCTACAGATGTCTTTGGGAATTCTCATGTCCATGAGGTCTGAAAAAAAACATGCTCGTCTGTCAATGCTTTGAGTGATACTGTAGCATTTATTTTTGTTTACATGCATAAGGGCTCTTTTCAAAAGTACTTGTTTATGTCAGCATAAACAAGGCTTTGCTCATATTAAATGACATAGATGTAATGATCTAAAATAAACTGGTATTTTCCAAGATGTTTGCTGACTTTCTGTGTTTTAAAGAAGAATAAAAAGAAGAATATTTATGTACGCCTTGCACATTAATTAAAATTCATAGCACAAGAATCAGCCAGGTCAGGAACAAGAGGTCAAAAGGTTTAGAGTTAAAATAAGAACAGTGTCAGCCCTCTGCACACTGGCACTTTGGAGGCTTCTATACCGTGGGAATTGCCTCTAGTGTGTCTGTCAATTTCACAGGCCAGAAAACATTTGAAACCTTTCTCAGAACACAAAGAGCTGAACATCATGAGAGATAAATGTTGCGGACATTTTCCCCCAAAATATGCCTGCCTATAAAAACAACTAAATCGGTATAGGGGTTAGTTTGTGACACTGCACCAATACACAGGGGAATAGAAATAGTTCAGTTTCAAAATCTTTGCATCTAGGATTTTATAATTAAGCTCAGTTCACATTTCCATTTTAACTGGCATTTAAAAAAAAAAAAGAGAGACCAATATGTAATATGATTTTTTTTTTTAATGTTACAAATGTGTTTCAATTGTACTTTGAAAAAAGAAATCTTTTTAAATTGTTTTATTTTTTTAGCATCACTGAAGTTTCATCAGCGAAGGCAAATTATTACAATATTATCTTTAAATAATTTACTTTGTGGTACGTTAACATAATTTGCAGTGCAATATTATATGGCATTTTCAAAAAGAAAAGTGTTGCATTTGTCATAATATAATTTCAAAGAAAAAAAATAGATCAGCAACCAGTGAGCAAGCAACAGATGAAAATCACATAAGCAAAAATGTTTATAGCAAAGGAAGAGAGATGAAAATGTACCTAAATCTATTTGTAGGGGGAGACCAGGTACGGTTGTAACGCTTTTTGTTTCAGTATCTGTAACTCTCTGAATTTCTGAGCAAGAGTGCTCAAACTTTTATACAAAGCACTGCATTTGTTCACTACAGAAGGCACCAATTCAGACCTCTGCAAGAATATCACAGCAATTATAAGTTGATGTCAAATACATGGCGTGCCTTTGTTACAATCTACCCCACTGCCGGTGGGGTAGATTGTAACAAACCATTATCTGTATTAGCATAATGGTTTGAAATTAGCAGTTTAAAAATGCTTAACATTTTGCCTGAGAATCAGCAAGTTATTCTAAAGTAAGTTATATGATTTTATCTGCAACACTTTAAGTAGTACTAAACAAAATATAGTTTTGGTCAAAAAAAGATATATACATTCTTACCTCAAAATCAGTTTCTTATCAAATCTGCATGTACCTATTTAGAGCCTTGATAACCATTCATATAGGATCTGGAAGGAAGTGGGTAAATAATGAAATTATCATAGGACTCCTATCTTATCCTTTATTGGTTGAATTGGTGTTGTTACAACTCTCCACATGTTACAACCATACCTGGTCTCCCTATATACTGGTGCCTTTTCTTGATGTTAAAATAAAAATTGTATTTCTTAATTTGAAAACCGTTAGTTTAACTGTTCAAAAATAGTGAAGAGCAGAGTGACCTCTTGGGGTCGAGAAATATTTGTAGGTGAAAAAAAAATGGTGTCGTATTAATTTTAGTTGTTTGACAGAGTCTGTTTGATGTTATACAAGTAGGCATAAGAGATTAATACATTTATATTACAAGCATACGTATTTCCTATCACATGATAGGAAACGACGTAGTAAAATTGCTCCGCCCATTTCCATAACTGGCTTTAGGCAGGTGACAGTTAATTAACCTCGGTTAGTTCACACACCGAGTCACTCGACAAATTTGAGCCGTAACGTTAGTAAGAACGATTAAAAGCGCCATTTTAGTCTCAGTGTAGTCACAACCATCTCATCTAACTAAAAGAAGGTAAGCAGCAATCTCCTTTTATACAATTTAAACGTGTATTTGTGCGCATTTGGTTGTTGTAGTGTAACGTTAAATTGTGATCATGACTCTGGGGCTTTACAAATATAGAAGATGAGAATACCGTTATGGAAAAGTTAGGGAAACCCTTCTTGGACATGTGGATGAGAATGGAATATTTGCTAAATAATTAAACAATCCTCGTCTAGTGATTTCCTTCCCGACCAGAAGATGGCAGTCAATACATTAAGCTCAGAATCACTAGAGGCATTCAACTCATATGGAACTCAAACGGCAATCAGGAGACTGAAATTAGGATACTTCTAAGAATAAACAATTAAAATAATAATAATCTATCGCTATGAACACAATTTCCACAAAAAATAATAATAATAATAGCTTAGCTCTGCATTGACAAACATTTAATGTAACATGAAACCAATATAGTCATCTCTAATTTGTTATGTTAATAATTAATGATCTAATTAAATCTTGGGAAGCTAAAATATTCACTGATAAACCTTGACAATATGGCACATAGGTGCATAACACTTCTACATTTAAAAGCATACAAAAGTTCACAACAGAATTAAACCACAAACTCTCCTGACCACTAGGGGTGGTTGGGCCATCAACGCCACAGGCATCTGTCTTATCAGGAAATCTTATTTAAGCGGAACCAAACTTCATTAAAATACTCTGAACTTTACAATTCACAAACATCTAATGTAAAAGTGTATTAACTTTTTAAATTACAAACTTACATTAACTTCACCCACACTGAGAATCTTCTCCTCCTGTTTTGTATTAACTTTTTTGGAAGTTAGCAAACTAGCTTTTGGTACAATACTACCACCAAGTAAAATGGAGTTTGGATCTTTATTTTTAAACTTGATTCCACATCTATCCCTTTAGTAAGGTCAGCACCTCTCATATATAACCCCCTCTGTTTTTTTTTTAGCCAATAGATTTTCTAGTGACAAAGTCTGAACTTTTTACCTACAATTATCATGCTGGTCCACTGTGTTTTCTGAAGTCCATAGTCAACGCAGCCATCTACCAGGAAATTTTAGAGCACTTCAGAATAAGGACTAGAGAAAGCGCCACATGGCTGCCTTGTACAGTACATCTCAAGTAAAATCTACAGAGTGCTAATCTAAATACAGTATAAAGAGGATTTATTGTTATTAGTTTAATGCCCCTACTAGGTTTTCATAATTTCATTATTTGAAATACAGATAGCACATAACACATTTGTTTTTGTCACTAGTAAGTGGTTCTTGTTTTTGTTGCGATTATTTTAAATGTTAGGCTTTGTGGTTTCTTCACCGAAGGAGTACTGGTACAGCTCGATTAAGCGGTTGGCCTCCCTCTGCCCTGACAACAAAGCACCATGGGTAGTGGAATAGTATTTTCTATGGGTGGCCTCCCCAGCAAACAATACCTGTAGTGGCTTTGGAAAGATGAAAAGAAAAGAACAATAAAAGTTATCTTGACCAAACTTATGCTCTACAACATTACTACCCTGGGGCCCAGTAAGCTATTTTAAGCATGAGTCTCAATCGTTCTGCTATAGAAAAGTGATTTTACAGTCTCTAGCCTCTTGATCTTTTTGTGCAGTGCAGTCTGTGGGGACAGACTGTTCCTTTCAGACCCTTAATTGGCCAGAGCATGTTTGTATGCTTATGCGTATATGTATGTGTTTGTCTGGCCCTTGTACAACTCAACCTTCTCATCTGACTCAAATTTCAGTCTCAGTTCTGCAGAGCTCAACAAGACCCATTTAAAAATCCTCCATGCAAGCAACTCGGTTCAGCCTGACTTTAGAGCAGTCATGGGAAATTTTAACAATGACAAGAGGTGAAGAGGCCATATAAGCAGTTCTAAACAGGATTCAAATGTATTTTATTTAAAATAATCAGAAACAAGTCTTATGCCTTGTAGAGGGCAGTAAGGGCACCTGATGTTTTTGGTTTAATTGGCAGATAAGTTAATGGAAATAAAAACCATAATTTACCCACCATTCACTTATTTGCCCACCATGTGAACATGCACTTATAAAGAGTCTGATACTCAGATATGCAATATGTATTTGACTGCATAAATTCTGATACCTAATCTATGTTAAGCACATACTGCAATTGTGCAAAATTTGCTTTAATAGTTTATACAACTTAGTGGAAATTTCAACTCACCGGAGCCTTAGTGTTCTTAATATAAGGCAGGGGCTCAGCTAGCTTCTCCACATCTCTGCCGCTGGAGCCAACTCGAGTGAAAGAGTAAGAACCCCGGATATAGGGATTACTGCCCCATGAGGAGCGCAGGATCCGCCTTGGTTTTGGAATATTCTGGTTCCCTGTTAGAAACATCAAACATATGAAAATAAACTGACTATTTGCCAAACGCTACTAATTGATAAAAAAAACATTTAAATTTATCTTAAACTTGTGCATATTGTTGCTACAACTTTAAACCCAGACAATCCTTCTTTCCTCTTACGCAGGGTATCTGCAGGATTTTAATCTCAAATGTAAAACGTTTTAAGACCTGCACAAATATAATTAATACCATATAGTAGCAGGGTAGGGCAACGTCTATGTTAACATATTAAACTGTAAAATGACCATAAAAAGCATGATTTACAGTTCAGATATAGGTTTAAATAAAGTAAATAAATAAACAAATTTCACATTTCAGCCTTTAAACCATTTTTAAGAAAATTGATGAGTCAGAAGTATCAATTATTATATTAATTTAAACGATTATTATCAATTATTTTATTAATGAAATAACATCTAAATATATTTCAGTGTCTTAATTGTTTAGATTTTAATAATTCATTATATTCTTGTCGATCCACCAGTTCGCTGCTACATAAAAACATGGGTTGATTTTTACATTGGTCTGAACAAAAACAGCATTATTAAAATTGCAAATTCATTCTCTGCCAGCAGGTGATGCTTTTGGAACGGCATAAATATACCAGTTTCCCCCGGTAACCGCAGTACACACAGCAGCACAACTCCTGACTTTGAAACGCTTATGTTTATTTAATGAAATCACAGCCTTTTTAAGTTTCATCGTCACATTAAATCGTATCACAATTATTTTCTTTCCATTCCTAAATTTAAGACATAATTAAGACTTTACTGTACCATTTAAGATACAACTTTTGATACAACTAAATGTAAGATTAAGGACCCACGGAAACCCTGTTTAAAGTGTAAAACATTTTGAAGTACTGCTCTTTTATGCTGATCTATGTTTGTTTTAGTGGTATGGGTTGAGTGGACATGTGTTGTACAAGTGAAGTTAATCTTCAATCTACTGTCATACAATGACAGAAATTAGGGGACCTTTCAATTATCAGTGGTAAGGTGTGACCAAATCCAATTTCAGCATACTAATTATATAGGACTCGGGCAGATGGGAGGGGAACCTGCTGTGGATCTGGATTAAAACAGTCTGACCTAGTTAAGAGGCATGCCAGTCTGTTGACATCATCTACAGAGGATGTGTGCATTGACCCTTATATCTGACTTGTGTTCTGTCATGAAAGGGTTACAATGGAAGCGAAACCAGAGTTGTTTACAGTACAATCTTTCACACCACCTTGGAAACTTTAGAGCTATTGTCTATACATTTACACTAGAGACCTGACCTTGTCAGAGGTATATGTGCCTTCTTGTCACAGAGAAATATAACTTAAAAGCATGACAAGCAGACCGCATTAATATGACCAGTTAAATGTGCATGTGACAAAACTCTGACTCCGTGCTTGGATGGCAACTTGATTGCATTAAAATCCTGGGGGGGGGGTTGGGGTTACTCTGGGTTCGGGCCAAAATTCCGAGATCAGAGCCCTCCCCTCGGACAGCATGCCAAATACACATAACCTTTACTCTGCTTATTATATGTAAGTGTGAACTCGTGAATTACAGTGTTATTCTTGCGCATATACTGACCTGTAAACTGGCGCAGTAGTTCGGTGCATATCTCCGCCACAGTCTCATCGTCACACCTTTCCATGCGCAGGGCCTCTTCTCCGCAGATCCAGCCACTCAACATGTGGCCATAGCGTTCAGGTGGATACAGCACATCAAAGCTGCAGATCTTTCGGTACCACAGCTCTTCTGGGTATGCCTGGCTCTCCAGTTGTGCCTCGTCCTCCCACACAAACTGAATGCTGTTGCACTCAGGGCTCCAGAAGGGCTCTGCAAACTCCAGAAAGATCTTGTCGGTAGTACTAATGCCCAGTTTCTGGATGGCCTGTGCCTTGTCTAGTGGTAGTCCTGGAGAGAAGAGAGTCTCATGAGCTTTCTTCAGAACCCCAAGAGAGGCTGTTACGATCACATGGTCTGCCAGCAGACACTCGCCGTCTTCGCACTCCACACAGACCGGCGAATGGCTGGGCCGTTGGTCCTGGTTATGGTCAACCTGATCTACAATTTCCTCTGTATCATGGGAGCTGCAGTTCCAGTGGATGCGGCGGACAGGCTTACTGAGGCAGAGGACACGACTTGGGATGTCCTGAGCCAGGATCTCAACGATTTTAATGAAACCACCAGGAATGACATGGTGAGCGCCAGGAATCTCAGTCCACTCACCAAACTCACTTAGAGACACTTCATCCATGCTGGGGGAACTGCTTTCACAGCTCTCCACCTGAGGCACAGAAGAAAAATTAAGAAAAGAAGAAATTGCACATAAAACTTGCTGTTAAGGTACTTCTTGGAACCAAAACTGAAGTCTACTGATTTTGATTGTGACCATTCACTTGGACGAAAAAATTAAGAAAAGAAGAAATTGCACAGAAAACTTGCTGTTAAGGTACTTCTTGGAACCAAAACTGAAGTCTACTGATTTTGATTGTGACCATTCACTTTATGTATAGCCTTGCATATGCTTGAGCTCTGCTAAACACACCATTTACTCTAAGGTTACAGTTCTAAACTATACTGTTGTAAACAAATACAGGCAAACATAGTCTAGTAGGCATACAGCCAGGTGAGTGCTTTTTCTGGTCCTGCCCCTTCCTCCCATAACCTTTAGCATTACAGGATGGCATTAAGTGTCCTACTTAAGTCCTACTTTTACCACAGTAATCTGGAGCTTTTGCTACTATCAGAATTTCTGTGACCAGCCTGACTGAACGGGACAAACGGTACTCCTTGTTGAAAAAAACAGCATATGCTATATATGTTTTGAAGCATGACTACTGGTTTGAGCTGGTTTAAGCTGGTCATGAGCTGGTCCTGAGCAGGAGCTAGTTGCTTATGACCAGCTTAAACCAGCTAAGGACCAGCTGTGGGATGTTAATAATGAAGTTGAATTGTTCCATTAATTGTAAATACAAGCCTATTGTGAGCCTAGGTCAAAGTGTGGGTTGATGATTAAATGATTAAAACAGTAGTACGTTTGGAATCCATACCTCTGTGGGTGGAAGTCTACAGTATTTTGCAAGAGAAACTCACTGTTGCAACAGAGTGGGAAGGAAGCATGCATGGCAGTGAGCTTGAAGTCACTGTTATCTTGCAAAGGTGAGGACACATGCAATGTGTTTTATGTTGTCATAGAGATGCAGTAAATCTGCTTACAACAGGAACTTCTGGTTGTGGCTTGTTACGGAGATGGCAAACAAGATGCCACACCTATAATTTCAAAATCAGGTCTATAGATATCTTTATTTTTAACTATTCTGCGGCTAAACTAACCATGATTTTCTTATGAAAAATCTCTTCAAAACATTAGAGCCCTGCCCACCTTGAGGTACTGTTGTAGCATAGATAACTTTAGTTTCTTGGCTTAGCTGGTCCTGAGCAGGAGCTAGTTGCTTATGACCAGCTTAAACCAGCTAAGGACCAGCTGTGGGATGTTAATAATGAAGTTGAATTGTTCCATTAATTGTAAATACAAGCCTATTGTGAGCCTAGGTCAAAGTGTGGGTTGATGATTAAATGATTAAAACAGTAGTACGTTTGGAATCCATACCTCTGTGGGTGGAAGTCTACAGTATTTTGCAAGAGAAACTCACTGTTGCAACAGAGTGGGAAGGAAGCATGCATGGCAGTGAGCTTGAAGTCACTGTTATCTTGCAAAGGTGAGGACACATGCAATGTGTTTTATGTTGTCATAGAGATGCAGTAAATCTGCTTACAACAGGAACTTCTGGTTGTGGCTTGTTACGGAGATGGCAAACAAGATGCCACACCTATAATTTCAAAATCAGGTCTATAGATATCTTTATTTTTAACTATTCTGCGGCTAAACTAACCATGATTTTCTTATGAAAAATCTCTTCAAAACATTAGAGCCCTGCCCACCTTGAGGTACTGTTGTAGCATAGATAACTTTAGTTTCTTGGTGCTTTCTGAGTCATAAGGGTCAAGCATGATCTTCTTGCGCACCACATCTCGTGTGAAGATCCCCACACTGTTTTGACTCTCGGCTCCCACAGGCTTTCCATTCTGGAAGAACTCCTGAGTCAGCTCATACACCTGCAGAAAGGAGGTCGTTCAACAAGATTAAGGGTGAGAAATCGTAGAACCATCCGATCATGAAGCTATCCTTACCACAAACAAGGGTTTCATTGCATTAGTTAATGAGGCTGGAATACACTAGGGTCAAAATATTGCATAACTTTTAAAAGGATAGTTCACTCAAAAATGAAAACCGTCATCACCCTCATGTTGTTCCAAACTTGTATAAAAGAAGTTTTGAAGAATGTCAGTGATGTCAGTGACCATTGACTTGTATGAAGAAAAAAAAATATATATATATTTCTACAGAAGAAAGAAAGCCATACAGGTTTGGAACATCATGGGTGTGTCTAAATGATGACACGATGAAATAATGAGTTAATGTTTGGGTGAACTATCCCTTTAAGTGGTTTTCTCTTTCATTAGCCTAAATTGCAAAGATATTTGTCACATTCATAACAGTGTTTGACACTAGATTGTCAGATGCAACATTACAAATAAATTAAGAAATATTGATAGCAAACAAAAGACCGGGATCTTGCCAAAGACAGTGAGAGAGAGGATGAGGTAACAACCACAGAACACATAACTTTTACTCTGGCAGCTGTGAGCTTGAAGTGAAAAATGTCAAGCAGATAAACTGACCAACACTTTCATGAAAACCTGTTATAAATGTTCTATGCACCTGGCAAACTCAACTATTTGTATTACAGTCTAATCCAGTCCACCTTAATTAAATGTAAACCGGTATGCACTGCTGTGCTACTACAGGTATTTTGAACCGTGCAACTTGAAATTGTACTAAAAAGTTGCGCAGACCCTTCAGCAATTGGGGCATTTGAAAGTAAATTACTGTTAAATTGTAATTAAATTAAATATAACATGTAGTCTTACATCTAGGGATGCACCGAAATGAAAATTCTGGGGCGAAACGGAAACCAAAAATTCTGGATGCACAGTTAACATAATCCATTTCGATTAATTTGATTTCCTTTGAACGTTGATCTGCCAGTCGCGGGTTTTTCATGCCAAGAACTCTGCTCATGTGTTTGCATAATGATGCATTTAAAAGTTAATGACCAAATGTATCTTAATAAACGTTCACAATGTTTCTGCAGACGAAATATAACGCAGATAACATTAAGTAAATATCTTTTCATCAGGTTAGACATATTTGTCACTCAAACGGTCTACTGGTCTCGTATATTGTAGTTTTTAACACTTTTTTAATGTTTGTAGTTCTAATCTAATCCTTGTCCAACGTACAATGGGTTGTGGGCAATATTAGCCGTTTAAGAGTGTGCATCAATCTGCACTTCGAATTCTAACCGGAAGTAGTAGACTATTCCGGAATCTCTGGCATACTTAGTTCAATATATTACAATTTGGGACACACTAATTCTATTTTCAAATACTATTTAGGGCAGATATGTGAATTGGGAGGCAGCAAAGGTCTTCACATAAACACACCAGCTTATGTCTGACATCCAAAAGGAAAAGATACACCTGATGTTGGACAGACCTCATGAGAGGTTTATCAAGGACCTGAATGGGGGAAGAGGAGTCATAATGGAATATTGTTGTGGATGCAGTATGTTATTATGGTGGACAAAACTGAATTTTTCCTTTCATCCGAGTGAAAGAACAATGTTATTTTCTTTATATTTCATTATACGCAACTGCACACTCCTTATCTGTCAGCATTGTCATTGTACCCTGTTGGCATAGCCACGCACGTGCAATGAGGAAGAGATGGACAACTGTGAATGAATATTATTTAAATGAATGAGGTTGTGGCTACTATGCTCTCAGTACACACCATAATAACCTCCTGTTGGGAGTGTGCACAAGCCAAATTCATTAACACAGTTTGTTATCAGACTGTTGAGAGGACAGGAAGGGCTGACTGCGGCTTCTCTGACGCACAATGACAATCAGAACACTTGTTATAAATACTAAAAGGAGCTAGCTTGGTGGTTGCATTGTACCTGCCACTGCATGAATGGGTTGTTTCCTTCTTGAGAATTCTTAGCATGTGACCTCAACTGAATTTAGCCACACGTCAGCAGATTTTAAACATGGCTGGACTAAAAACTTTACATGGTTTGTTACATTTGTAAAATAGATTTCCTGAACAAATGGAACATAATTTCCCAAAGATAATCAATTCACCATGCAAAAACAACCAGTGTCAGGGCAAAATAGCAAAACATGAAACCTTATCCTAGCTTTAATGTGAAGTAATATGTATGTAATAAGGATTAAGTAAACACATAATGTTTTGTTACACTGAACTTCTGGAAGCATGAAGCATACTTGAACTCTCTATGTGTGGCCTACAGCTAGAAAAACAACCAAACAATAGATGAGCTTTGCAGCTGTATATCCAAAATTACAGCGTGAAGACCAGTTTTTCCAGATTCTGAAAAATATATCATTAATGCTTTAAGAAGTTGACCTTAGACTATTTTTGTAATTTATAACTTAAGCAGAGGAAGTTGGTTAGTGCCAGCAGTGATGGTATGAGAAGTGCCTAATTCTTGGATTAATGCTTGTCTAGTGAATGGGTCCCTTTAGCAAACTAAGCTTGTGAATGTGTGTTATCTCCTTGATCTGCACTGACCTCCTGTTAAACAGAAGAAATTAGGCATTTATCAGTGACTCATGACCAGAAACTCCTATAGAAAGAACGATCTACAGTGAGGTGGAGAAGGTTCTTTGACGGGAGTCCTGAAATGGAAAGGTCTGGATTACCTAAACTGCAACTGCAGGTCCTAACCCCACCCGTTCCAGTCTCATGAAGTTTGAGGTGAACCAGAGTGTATGTGCAATGTTTTACAGACACACATCTCTGATATAACCAGTGCTCTCTAGATTGTGGAGCACATCAGAAGTTTCTGAATACAATACCAACAGCTGTACCAAATAAAACATAACTACAGACCTTTTTTTTTTCTCAACACAGTGGTTATGGTTGAGAGGGTTTGTGTAAGAAAAAATGTATGCATGAGAAAGTCCTTGCCTTGTGGCACATCTGGTTTCAACGCAGAGGCAGAAGGTCACAGCTTGTGAAGTTAGGACGAGGCCATAACAGAAAATTTGATCTACAGTTAGAAGAAAAGTTTCTGTTTAGAAACTTAAGGGGTTCTATCAGGCGCTACATATTTGCAGCCCCTTAAAGGTTCTATATAGAACCCCTGTTAAGGGTTCAATTTCAAGAACCCTTTAGGGTTCCTTGTAGCCAGAAAAAATGGTTCTATATAGAATCTTCTACGAGTTCCCATCCTGGGATCATTTTATGAATTTAATTTTAGTTTGATTTTAATTACATTTTATGACTTAAACCACTCATATTGATACTTTATCACTGTAAAATCTGAAATTATTATAAGGATAACACATCAAAGTATTATGTGATCATTTAAGACACTTTTATTAACATTTACAATGACACAAGCAATATTTAACACACAGCAATTCACAGTGCAACATTTAGAAGAATTAACATGAATCCATGTTTCTTTTTTATTCGTACTTTTTATTCTTTTTACCTGAAATTGACAAAATAGTACATTCAGTTTTAGAAATATTAATGTTTTATCAAACCCCCTCCCTCTTACTCACCCATCCAACATGTGTCAGTCATAAATATATGTTGATTGCTAGAATCCACAAAAAAACAAAGTTAACCTGCAAAAAACAGTAACTAAATAAATAAAATGTCACCAAATAGTATATTAATGAAACTGATTTTGCATCTCACTACCAGGTTATTATCCTTCACCTTCAATAAATGTCAAGTATTTACCCCACTTTCTCCTATAAACCATGCAGTCTATATGATTTTTTATTTTTTATTTTTTTTTGTGGTAACTTTCCCCAATTCTGTAACCCATATAAGATGGCGAACCTGGTAATTCCACATGTTTCTGACTTGTATCAGTATTGTTTTTTTTAATTCATAAGCATTAATAAATAATTTATCATTCATAAGCATTTAAACAATAAAAACAAAGGAACCATGACAATTTCAGCACTGGGAAGGGCTATATAGTGCTGAATGAAAGAAACTGAGTGATGGCTTTTGGAATTTCCATACTGAACAAATAGGATACAGCAAACAGATACTTTTGGCATCTCTGTTGTCAGTCAGTGACACGTCCATTTTGAAGCTAACTCTCTTTGCATTGAGGAGGCATGATATCCTAAGATGGAGATGCAAGACAGAAACATTTATTAGACCTACAGAGAATACAGTACAAAAAGGAAAACAGAGAGGAATCTCTCACAATCGGATCAAATCTTAAAACTTACTTTAATCAGAGAGGAAGTGTGGTATCATCTGAATGCAGATGACCAAACAAGTAATGCTGTATACTCCAAAAAAACGGCTATGCTGTCGTTTAGGCTATATTACTTTTTTTGTCTCATGCAGCGCACTGCCTGCGTCTGAGTAAAAAAAAAAAAAGTGCATGTGATATTAACAAATGAACTACGCTCATATTTATAATTCCAAACAATCAGTAAGCGACAGGTGCTAGGAAACGCTGTTTTGTACTCATTTATTTACGAGTCGGCTGCGGTGCGGCCAACTGAAAGCGCTGCTTCTCTGCCGCTCACTGCACAGAACAGACGCCGAAAGATGTGACACTTCTCCGGGAAAGTCAGACCTCGCATTCGCGGGACAGCACTGGCGAAATCTTCCAACTGAACCATAGTTAAGGTTTATCCAAAACATTTGTTAGGTTTGTCAGTATGAATGTTCTATGGAAAAAAGCCGCTAAAAGGGTCTGAAAGTTGCTAAATCTAGTGCTTAAGTCGCGACCGCCCAGCACTACATTACAGCATCCTTAATAAAGTTCTTGTTTTCTTGTGTTCTTTGATTAACAGATATCATAGCAGCTGGGTCATTGGGTTCTTTTGGCTGCCACTGCTGAACATGGCGCGGATCTGACACGCATCCTATTTTGTCACAACACTTTACCTTTTCTGACCCTCTTCAGGTCTTAAAGTCTCTACTAATGAGCTGATGAGTTGAATCGGGTTTGTTAGATGGAGACCGTGCTGGGGTGCTCCAGGACAGTTTTGAAAACCACTGCATTTTAGAGACATGTTCTTAAATCTGACTCCTATATAACAAATGCTTACATACCTGCACAGTTTTAAGGCAGCTTTAATCGCCTTTTTTGGTAACTTAATGACTTAACTGACGACATAACTATGACATTGCATGCTCGTTGTTTCATTTGCGCTTTAATATGAAATTATATACAGAGCACCACTGAATTTGTGCGTGCATTTGAAAAGCACGTATTACGAGCAAAGTATAATGGCAGACAGGACAGGAAAAATGAGTTTTTACTGACATATGGCCTGACAACATCTCATCTGACCGCAGTTCACTGTTGTTCTACTGAAGCTCCCTCGTCACCTGTACCTTTATCCGCACCCGGTGAAGTTGGAGTGCGCGTCTGAAAAATCTCCCATTTGATGTGGTCGTAAAGACATTGTGTCTAAATAAACACAATTCTTGTCAAGAAAAAAGAGACAGAAGCAGCAGTTGTGAGTGGGGTGGCCAAACCTAGCTCTGGCCCTGCGTTTGAGTGAAATATTTTTAATGCCGTTAAACTGAAAATATTAATCGCATGTGTTAGCATACTCATTTTTACAGCACTAATCAAAATATTTTCTCACTTACCAATGTAATCATCGTTGTCTTGAGCGCTGAGCTCAAACAAATCTCCATAACGGTTGAAGTTTGTGGCGTGCGCACGCTTAGTAATCACTCTCGCGAGAGGAGACGGGACAAAACTGATCAGCGCATAGATACATATGATATGAGTATGTTGCTAGTCAGTATAAGAGTTGTATTTGGCATCTTTCCACATGACAACTGAAGAACCTACAATCATGATAGTGTGCAGATTAAATGGCAGACTATAGCGTGCACCTATTAATAAATAGATAAACCTATCAAGATTGCTATACACTATATACTGGATCATGTGGCAATTATTTTCTATTGAACTTGAAAGTGTAGAAGTACATTGTAAGTTTATTTTCTTCAGAATGTAAGGTGTGCCAAAATTAAATTAAAGTAAAAACAGGAATATAATGTAGTTATAATAATGTAATAATTTAAATAGCCTAATGTAAACACATCATACATAAAGCACTGTTTAGCCCAAAGAACCCTTTTGTGCCAAAAAGTGTTCTTTCTCCTTATATAGAACCTCTTTGGAGTGGAGTAAAGAACCCAAGGGTTTTTTCTAAGAGTTCAGTGTATATAATCCATGGTTTCCATTGTTCCAGTCCACTGATCCTACTTTAGATGACCAATATAAGGCTTAGGTTCACTTAGGTTCCCTGTCAGCATCAACTAGATGTTTTGATGTTGAGGGCACTTTTGCCCCTTTTCTACCAACAGAGTACTGGGTCTGGTGCTTTAGACTGTGACCAGTGTAGAACACAAGAAACTGCTAAGTTTTCAAAACGACAGCAAATTTGATGCAAAAAGAAACTAGATTGCTCCAGAGACACTGTGTAACATAAAAAGAGAACGAACTCATGTATTTTGAAACTCTCCTATTTCAGCAACCTCAAATAGCACTATTCTTAAATCACCGTGGCTCTAATTTATATAATAGGCCTATATTTTTTTTTTTCTTTAAGTGGACTTTATGGACTTGTAGCAGGATAACAACTACAAAACATGTCCCGGCATCTCACTTGCCATAGAGGGCGGGCTTTGAGGGACTCGCACACTCTACATGACCTAGAAATCACAACCTGCATCCTCTATGATGCCTGCCCCTCGACTCACACACTGTAGGACAAAGGCACTGTAAAGTTTTCCCTTCATCCCATCGCATATTATCAGCATGGTCCCTTATTTAAGGCAGACTTGGAACTGTTAAACAGACCCATATTTAAGACTTACAATCCAAATACAGGAAATAAAACAGGACAGGAAGTGTCTATTTGGAGAAGATAACCTTCACCAAGCCGGCAGATGAATCTCTTTCCTAGGTGAGATACAGTCTTGTAGCTACAGGAAAGGATTTGATCTATACAAATTAAAAAGTTTTATCTATATTAGCTTATTATTATTATTATTATTATTATGCTCATTTAAAAAAAAAAACACACATATAAAGAGAGAGAAAAAAGTAGCATCGGGTAATTTGAGTTGAGATAAGCGAAGTTTGGCTGCTGATAAAGTAGCGGCACAAAGTGCGTCCAGTGGAATCAGCGCTGCCACGTAACTACATACTGTCACGGGAGAGTGGCCTCCAGTGATAAGAAAAGAAACGTCAACCTGTGACATTTACCAAATATCCTTTTCATGAAATCAACCATCACCTTTTACTGTACCTTTTTCAGCTAACTGACCATTTAAGTCATAATGTATAGCCTATGTCCTAATATAACAGCGCATTAGGCTATTAGAAGCAGCTTAATGAAAACTGAATTGTAACAGACAATGGACTGTGCTTTCGAGAAATATACCGGACAAACGAATAAGACAGAGAAGCACCTCCTGTCCATTATGAAAACACTGATCAGTCCTGCGAGTCAGTTTTGCTTACAATTTTGTTTGGATCCACCGTTTCTCCGTTAACAGCCTACATCATTAAAACGCGCAGTACTGTAATGGTCAAAACACACACAAATCATCTCATTTAGTATGGTCTTTACCGGACTTTGTCGTCTTCAGCGTAAAGCCTCTGTTCTTTGTATATTCGCAGGCAGCGTCTCGCTTTGTATTTATGTGTCTTGAAACCAGAAGCAGCCAGTTTAGTCGACACCGCTGCCTCCTCACTGAATAAATATGAGGAACCGTGACGTACCGCCACGAAACCAACACCGGCGCTCGAGCGAGTCTTCGCGTGACTCACGGTTTGTCACAGGGGCGTTTGAACACACAAAGCCCACCCCTCTTGTAGTAATGAGGGAGTAGAGCTGGTTTTGTTCAGTCTTGTTAGATTACGGCGAACGCCTATCCTTAAGCAAACAAACAAATAAAAGCATGGTTGAATGAATTAATCAATCGATATTTCAAATTAAGTGTTTACACACTATTTTCATAATTACGTTATATACACCGTATTTATAAGTCGCTATAGCAATATGGTGCATATAAACCTACATACATTATTGCTAAACTGGTTAGTTCGTGTCTACATGAGTTAATGACGAAGACGCTCTTTATTCAGAAACCTAGCTCTGGCCCTGCGTTTGAGTGAAATATTTTTAATGCCGTTAAACTGAAAATATTAATCGCATGTGTTAGCATACTCATTTTTACAGCACTAATCAAAATATTTTCTCACTTACCAATGTAATCATCGTTGTCTTGAGCGCTGAGCTCAAACAAATCTCCATAACGGTTGAAGTTTGTGGCGTGCGCATGCTTAGTAATCACTCTCGCGAGAGGAGACGGGACAAAACTGATCAGCGCATAGATACATATGATATGAGTATGTTGCTAGTCAGTATAAGAGCTGTATTTGGCATCTTTCCACATGACAACTGAAGAACCTACAATCATGATAGTGTGCAGATTAAATGGCAGACTATAGCGTGCACCTATTAATAAATAGATAAACCTATCAAGATTGCTATACACTATATACTGGATCATGTGGCAATTATTTTCTATTGAACTTGAAAGTGTAGAAGTACATTGTAAGTTTATTTTCTTCAGAATGTAAGGTGTGCCAAAATTAAATTAAAGTAAAAACAGGAATATAATGTAGTTATAATAGTGTAATAATTTAAATAGCCTAATGTAAACACATCATACATAAAGCACTGTTTAGCCCAAAGAACCCTTTTGTGCCAAAAAGTGTTCTTTCTCCTTATATAGAACCTCTTTGGAGTGGAGTAAAGAACCCAAGGGTTTTTTCTAAGAGTTCAGTGTATATAATCCATGGTTTCCATTGTTCCAGTCCACTGATCCTACTTTAGATGACCAATATAAGGCTTAGGTTCACTTAGGTTCCCTGTCAGCATCAACTAGATGTTTTGATGTTGAGGGCACTTTTGCCCCTTTTCTACCAACAGAGTACTGGGTCTGGTGCTTTAGACTGTGACCAGTGTAGAACACAAGAAACTGCTAAGTTTTCAAAACGACAGCAAATTTGATGCAAAAAGAAACTAGATTGCTCCAGAGACACTGTGTAACATAAAAAGAGAACGAACTCATGTATTTTGAAACTCTCCTATTTCAGCAACCTCAAATAGCACTATTCTTAAATCACCGTGGCTCTAATTTATATAATAGGCCTATATATTTTTTTTTCTTTAAGTGGACTTTATGGACTTGTAGCAGGATAACAACTACAAAACATGTCCCGGCATCTCACTTGCCATAGAGGGC